ACTGGCGTGAGGTGATATCTGAGTGTGGTTTTGATTTGTATTTCCCTGATGAGGAGCGACATTGAGCATCTTTTCATGTGCCTGTTGGCCATCCGGATGTCTTCTTTAGAGAAGTGTCTATTCGTGTCTTCTGCCCATTTCTTCACTGGGTTACTTGTTTTTCGGGTGTGGAGTTTGGTGAGCTCTTTATAGATTTTGGATACTAGCCCTTTGTCCGATATGTCATTTGCAAATATCTTTTCCCATTCCGTTGGTTGCCTTTCAGTTTTGTTGGTTGCTTCCTTTGCTGTGCAGAAGCTTTTTATCTTCATGAGGTCCCATTAGTTCATTTTTGCTTTTAATTCCCTTGCCTTTGGGGATGTGTCAAGTAAGAAATTGGGCAAAGCTTTTACATCTCTGGGCCTTAGGGGTAACATGCATCTATAAGGAACCTTTTCCTTTTGTGCCTCTTGAGAGACCTACAAGGAGCAAACTTGCTTCAAAAATCAAATCCAGCTAAAGAGTAGAGTCTGCTGTTGGCTTGTTAGAACTATGAGAAAATTAGGTAAGTTTAACATAAACCGTGTTCTCAAGCAGTTATCAGTTGGTGTTATGATACAAACCTCCAGAGTAAGGGATTATGAGCACAATCTCACACATGACCGTAATCCCAGTTAGAGATCTATATCCATCACAAAAGAAATGCAAACTACTGAGGTTAAAGTTGGTGACCAATTTGGAGTGTGAAGAATGGTTGTTGAAAGTCTGCAGCCAAGTAGGAAGGGAAAAGCCATAACCTCAAAGAGTGCAGGAGCGACATTGATCGCAGGATGTTGTCCCTGTTGCTATTAAAATACTGCATGTTATTCCTTACTGACATTTGTGCACTTGTTCTTGCTGACGTGGGCTGGTTTTTTTCAGCTGCCATGTGAAGACCAGATAATCCTCCTCAAAGGCTGCTGCATGGAGATCATGTCCCTTCGCGCTGCTGTGCGCTATGACCCAGAAAGTGAGACTTTAACCTTGAATGGGGAAATGGCAGTGACGCGGGGCCAGCTGAAGAATGGGGGTCTTGGGGTGGTGTCGGACGCCATCTTTGACCTGGGCATGTCACTGTCTTCTTTCAACCTGGATGACACAGAAGTAGCTCTCCTTCAGGCTGTCCTCCTGATGTCTTCAGGTGAGTACTCCCAGACTCATTATTGGGCAACAAAAGAGCTTTTGCTTATCTGGTGCCAATTCAAATCACTTGATGAGTTTCCAGTCCATTCCCCCCCGACCCCCCGTCCCCACCGCTGCTTTAGCTGCAAAATCATAGCTTATTCTCTTTCAGCAATTAGGGATTTGCCAATGAACTGGGAACTGAAGGAGGGTGTCAGGTATCTGATGCTTCCTGCAATCTCCCAGCGTAGTAGAAGGACCCAAATGAGTCCTTTTAAAGACTCTGTGAGATGATCCACCTTCAACAGACACTACCCAGCCTGACCTATGGTAGTTGGCCAACTCTGCCTCCTTCTGGTTTATTACACAGGGTATGGGTATGAGTGACTACACCATTCTGTATTAAGTTCTGGTTGAGGAAAATTTGTTTATGGCTTAGCTACAGCTTAAGTTTATTGCTATATAGCATATTACCCGAAAATTTAGTGGCTTAAAGCATCCAAGATGGCAGAGGTTGGGGCTGAGACATCAAACACAGCTGTAGGCCTCCATGCATCCTCTCCACTGGCAGGCTAGCTGAACTCCTACATGGCTAGAAGATTCCAAGGAGAGCTCCAAGCACACAAAAGCAGAAACTGCAGACGTCTTAAGTCCCAGGTTTAAGTCATATAGCATCACTTCTGCCGCATTCTGTTGGTCCAAACAAGGCCCAGCACCAGTCCAGAGTCAAGAGCCCACCTCTAGATGGGAGGAACGGCAAAGAATCTACAACCAGCTCTAACCTGCCTAGAGCTCATGATCAAGGCCTCAGACTCCTTCCACAAAGAGTAGATGATAATGCTGAGACTTTTTTTTTTCTTCAGAGATCATGTCATAATAAATAAGAAATGCAAAATACATCAAACTCTTCAAAGGAAGCTAGTCTTTAAATAGAAGGTAGTTTCAGAGGCACCCTGTGCATTTTCAGAGCATCCTCAGTTAAGCTGAGGGTCACTCTGCACGACAGCTGTCAGCTTAACTTATCCATATCTCCCTCTGGACTGTTTATTTCTTGAAGACAGAAATATGTCTAATTACAATTAGGCCAGTGTTCAGAATTTGAAAAATGTTTATGGGATAAATGACTAAATAGATGGGTAAATTATCAGTCACAAGTACCATGAGAACCCTTAGAGTCCATGCTTCCTAGTTAACTCAGTAGAATTCCTTTTTTCTTTTTTGAAGCTCATCTTGAAATTTATTTGCTACAAAAAATTTAGGTATGGCAGACTTTTTTTAAAAAAATCTTTTTATTATGGAAAATCTCAAACATAAACATAAGTATAGAATAGCATAATGGGGGCACCTGGGTGGCTCAGTAGGTTAAGCATCCAACTCTTGACTTTGGCTCCAGTCATGATCTCACAGTTCATTGGATTGAGCCCCGCATCAGGATTCCCAAGCCCCTCTTGGGATTCTCTGTCTCCTTCTCTCTCTGCCTCTCTCTCTCTCAAATAAATAAATAAACATTTTAAAAAAAAACAAGAAAAGAATAGCATAACGAACCCTGCTGTATGCTGTGGTGGACAAGCTCTAGGGTGCCCCCCATGACCCCCACCTTCTGATGTTTACACCCTTGTACAATCCCCTCCCACTGAGTGCGCACAGAACCTGTGACTTGCTTCAACAGAATACAATGAATTCACTGTCACCCCCATGCAATTCGGTTACATTATGTTATAAAAGATTCCCTCTGGCTAACAGGCTTGCCCTAGAGACTCTCCTTGCTGCCTAGATGAAGTCAGCTGCCATGCTGGGAAAGCTCACATGACAGGGACCTGCTTGTGGCCTCTCGGAGCTGAGGGAAGTCTCTAGTCAACAGCCAGTGAGAAGCCCAGGCCCTTTGTCCTAAAGAAATAAAATGGATGGGGCACCGGGGTGTCTCAGTCAGTTAAGCATCCGACTCTTGATTTTGACTCATGATCTCGAGGTTTGTGAGTCGAGCCCCACAATGAGCTCCATACTGACAGTTCAGAGCCTGCTTGGGATTCTTTCTCTCTCCCTCTCTCTCTTTCCCTCCCCCACTTGCTCGCAGATGCTCTCTCTCTCTCTCTCTCTCTCTCTCTCTCTCTCTCTCCCTCCTTCTCTCTCTCAAAAAAAGTCAACAAAAAAAAATTTTTTTTAAAGAAAGAAAATGGGTAACCCCTTTCCTTTGGGTTTCAGTGTCCCTTAAAATAAGGAAATTGAACTAAAGTGGGAATTATATTCTGGAGGGGGATTCAAGGTAATTGTTAGTGAAATTGTAGTGGTACAAAGAATTTTAAATAACATTGAGCCACATAGTGAGAAAGCTATTTCTTTTACAGTTTTCTTTCTAGTTATATCTCCTTCTAAATAAGGCAAGGAGAGAGATTCATTTTGGTGCCAGTCTATCCCGAATGCCTAACACTTACTGACCTCCCTGTATAACAGAGCGGATCTCAGTCTTCGGCAAGAATCTTTAGCTAAAGTTTAATAAAGGTGGGGCACCTGCACTGACAGCTCAAAACCTGGAGCCTGCTTCGGATTCTGTGTCTCCCTCTCTCTCTGCCCCTCCCCTGCTCATGCTCTGTCTCTCTCAAAAATAAATAAACATTAAAAAAATAATTAATAAATAAGTTTAATAAAGGTTTCTGTCACACACCCTGTTTTTACGGCTATCTTCTAAGTACGGCAAATGGATTTTTATTTACTGAATAATATGTTTCCCCTGTAGTGAGTTAATTTTAACAGATTGTTAAACAAATAATCTCAGTAAAGTAAATAAAGGGAATATTTGAGAAGGCAAAAATTGTGATACCAAACCCTGTCAAACACTTAACTGGGCGATTCTTCCCCATCCTCTGATTCTGATGATGCTGTCACTGCCGGAGAGCCATGTGACATACTTAAAAACCTTTTAAAAATCTTCTCCACCCTAATGGCCTGGGAACTTTTCATTAATACTGCCAACACCAGAAAAATATTAGAAGACACTTTACAGTTGGCAAATGATAGCTACATATCTGTGCTCCATGGCTCCAGCCGTCCTCAGTATTGTCTTCTAAGCCTCATTGTTTTGTCTGGCATTACAATGACACAGTATCTTAGGGCTTTTCCACAAAGCCTTCTCCAGGAGCTGCTACCACTAAGTTCTTTGGTCCTGCAGTGATGAGCGGAGAGCTAAAATGGACATGATCCCAAGGACACAGCTTTGAGAAATTCTGTCTTAAAGAGTTAAAGACACTCTTTGACCTTTAAAATATTCCTTCATAAACATGCTTAATACCACTTGAACATGATCAAAATGTCCATTCATTTTCTCTGTGTCAATTACATGACCACCTTATCTTTATCTCTTATCAAAGGACAGAATTTTAAGGCCACAAAACCCGGGTTATTTTTTTCCCTTTGAAGGAGTACATCCAGAGCAGTATTATGTTGCTTTTCTACCTGGGATCAAAAGGTAAAGGATCCTGTGGAGAATTCTTCTGGAATACTCAAAGAAAGAGAGAAGACAGGGGTGAGAGGGTGAGAGAGAGAGAGAGAGAGAGAGAGAGAGAGAGAGAGAGAGAGATTGAGGAGATCCACAAAGTAGCATCGTCAAATACAAAAGACACAAAATAAAAATGCACAAATTGCATTTCAAGCCAAATAGGGGATTCCAAAAGCCCATGTATTTTGTTTAAACACAGAAGTGGATTGAGACATTAGTGCTGAGCCTTCCTTTCAGATTAAGCAGAATCCTGTTTTGATTTTTACTAATACAAATACTTCAATAACTGGACACTTAAAGTGTGAACTTACTTGATCAGAGCCACAAAGAGAAAACTGGAAAGAACTGGGCAGCAGGGCGGTAGGGCTCCCTGGAGCTATATGAGGAATCCATCCTGGTTTATAAATTATTTTTTAACATTTTTTTATTGAGTTATAATTGACATATAACATTGTATTAGTTTCAGATGTACAACAGAATGATTTGATATTTGTATACATTGCCAAATGATCACAATAAGTCTGGATAACATCTGTCCCCATATATGGTTACAAAATTTTTTCTACTGTGATGAAGGCTTTTTTTTTTAACAGTTTTTGTTTTAAGATTATTTATTTACTTTGAGAGAGGGAGTGTGTGTGAGCAGGGAAGGGGCAGAGATAGAGGAAGAGAAAGAATAGCAAGTAGGCTCCATACCAACAGCACAGGGCCCAACATGGGGCTCGATCCCATGAACTGTGAGATCATGACCTGAGCCAAAGTCAATAGTTGGACACTCAACTGACTGAACTATCCAGGCACCCCTCTCCTGTGATTAGGACTTTTAAGATCTACTCTCTAAGCAACTTTTAAGTATGCAATAGAGTATCGTTAACTATAGTCATCATACTGTACATTACACTTCCATGACTTATCTTATAACTAGAAGTTTGTAGTTTAGACTCCCTTCACCCATTAAGCCCGGCCCAGCCCACACCCTCTGGCAACCTCCAATCTGTGCTCTGTTTCTACGAGCTTGGTTTTGTTTGTTTGTTTGTTTTTAGACTTCACATATAAGATGATACAGTATTTGTCTTTCTCTAACTTACTTCCCTTAGCATAATGTCCTCAGGGTCCATCAATGTTGTTGCAAATGGCAAGATTTCATTCATTTTTTATGGCTGAATTCCATTAGAAGTGAGAGATAGATAGATAGATAGATAGATAGATAGATAGATAGATAGATGTAGCTATATCTATGCCTATGCCTATATCTATATCTATATCTATATCTATATCTATATCACATCTTTTATATCCATTTGTCCACCAATGGACACTTAGGTTCTTTCCATATCTTGGCTATTGTAAATAATGCTACAATGAACATGAGGTACATATATCTTTCCAAGTTTGTGCTTTTGTTTTCTTTGGATAAATACCCAGTAGTGGAATTACTGGATCATATGGTAATTCTATTTTTAATTTTTTTTTTTTTTTTGAGGAAACTCCATACTGTTTTCCAGACTGGCTGCACCAATTTGCTTTCCTAGCAATAGTGCACAACATTTGTTATCTCTTGTCTTTTTGATAAATGGCTATTCTAACAGGTGTGAAGTGATATCTCATTGCAATTTTGATTTGCATTTCCCTGATGATTAGTGATCTTGAACAACTTTAGATTTGCCTGTTGGCCATCTGTATGTCTTCTTCAGAAAAATGTCTCTTCAGATCCTCTGCCCAGTTTTTAATCAATTGTGGTGGGGTTTTTTGCTATTGAGTTGTAGGGGTTCTTTTTATATTTTGGATATTAACCCCTTATCATATATATGGTTTGAAAATACTTTCTCCCATTCCATAGGTTCCTTTTCATTTTGTTGATGGTTTCCTTTGCTCTGCAGGTTTTTCATTTGATGTAGTCCCACTTTATTTTTGCTTTTGTTGCCTTTGCTGTTGGAGTCAGATCCAAAAAAATCATCACCAACGCTAATGTAAAGCAGCTTACCATCTATGTTTTCCTCCAGGAATTTCATCATTTTAGGTCTTACATTCAAGTCTTTACTCTGTTTTGAGTTAATTTTTGTATACGGTGTAAGATAGGAGTCTAGTTTCATTCTTTTGCTTATGGCTATCTACTCTTCTTACTTCTTATTCATTTACTAAAGAGACTATGCTTTCTTCATTGTGTATTCTTGGTTCCTTTGTCATAAATTAATTGGCCATATATTAATGAGTGTATTTCTGGGCTATCTATTCCATTCCATTGAACTTTGTGTCTGTTTTTATACCAATACCATACTGTTTTGATTACTATAGCTTTGTAATATAGTTTGAAATCAGACAGCATGATGCCTCCCGCTTTGTTCTTTTTTCTCAACAATGCTTTGGTTTTTCTGGGTCTTTTGTGTCTCCATACAAATTTTAGGATTGTTTGTCCTATTTCTGTGAAATAGGAATTGAAAAATGTCATTGAAATTTTGATAGGGATTGCACTGAATCTATAGACAGCTTTGGGTAGTATGGACATTTTAACAATATTAATTATTCCAATCCATGCATACAGAATATCTTTCCATTTATTTGTGTCTCCTTCCATTTCTTTTATCAATGTCTTACAGTATTCACAGTATAGGTATTTTACTTCCTTGGTTAACTTTATTGCTATGTATTTCATTCTTTTTGACGCTATTGTAAATGGGATTGTGTTCCTTCATTTCTCTTCCTGATAATTCATTATTAGCTTATAGAAAGAAAACAGATTTTTGTATATTGATCTTGTATCCTACAACTTTACTGAATTTATTTATAATTCTAACAGTTTTTTTGGTGAAGTCTTGGTTTTCTCTATATAATATCATGTCATCTGCAAATAGCGACAGTTTTACTTCTTCCTTTCCAATTTGGATGCCTTTTATCTCTTTTTCTTGCTTACTTGTTCTGACTAGAACTTCCAATACCATGTGGAATATAGAGGTGAGGGTGGGAATCCTTGCTTGTTCCTGATCTTAGAGGAAAAGCTTTAAGCCTTTCACTGTTGAATATGATGTTAGCTGTGGGCTTGTCATACATGGCCTTTAGTATGTTAAGGTACATTCCCTCTGTACCCACTTTTGTAACCTAAGTGTTTGTAGCCTGGATGTTCCCCAGTCATCTAGCCTTCTCATGACATCCCTTTATCTTTTGTGTGAAATTGCCTTGAGTCCCCTCCCCACATATTATGGAAGGCCAGCAGTCCTCCCAAGACTTGGGAAGATTTCTTGGTCATTACATGGTCATGGTCTCCTCTAGCTCCAACTTCCCAATGTAATTCTTCCTTACTCCGCACGGGGCAATGCTAGCTTCTTTTCTTTTCATTTAATTCCCCAAAACACCCCAACACAAGGCTGCTACAGGTAGCAGTCTTATTAACTGTATTAGAGAAGGGAAGGAGTGCTTCATTACAGGAGGTAAACAACTGAAATTGGAGGTTGTACTTCTTTGTCTTCATGAGAATTTATTATCTGACATTCTTCCTTTGGCATTCAGGCCTCCTGCAATGTTTCCAATCTCTTCTCACATCTCCCCTTCTCTGCATGTCCATGCTTGTCTTCCCCTTTCTGCCAGAAAGCCAGTGGAAACTCAAAATCTTTCCCTTATTATGCACAATATTTCAACTCTGTAGGTGAGGCTTCTCCTATGAGGGAGGCATAGCCATTTCCAACCAAGGAGGTGATGTGGCTAACCCAGAGATATTTATCTGAACAAAGCATCAACTCCTTTTATGTAAATTATGACACTTCCCTGGTACCATTGGTTCTTCATGCCCCAGAGTTCATGTTATATCCATGCTCATTCCTAGGAGTTGATAGGTCCCCAGATCTGTCCACTTCACACTAAAGGGCTTGAAATGGACAAAGCAAACCTTCTCCTTTCCATTTCTGAATTAACATCCATCTTCTTGCTTCCTCTCAGACCGCCCAGGGCTCGCCTGTGTTGAAAGAATAGAAAAATACCAAGATAGTTTCCTGCTGGCCTTTGAACACTATATCAATTACCGAAAACATCATGTGACACACTTTTGGCCAAAGCTCCTGATGAAGGTGACAGACCTGAGGATGATTGGAGCCTGCCATGCCAGCCGCTTCCTGCACATGAAGGTGGAATGCCCCACGGAACTCTTTCCCCCATTGTTCTTGGAAGTGTTCGAGGATTAGACTGACTGACTTCATTCTCATAATTCCTACAGCACTACTGGGTGTCATTTCATTCCATTGCCTAGCTCTTTTTTGTTTGTTCCTTTGTTTCTTTGTGTTGGGAGAGACTGGGGGTAAAGGGAGGTAGTCCTTAGCATAGACATGGATGAAATTGCCCCTTGAATGCGGGTACTTGTAACTATTGCATTTTGTTCTCCAGTCCTTTGATGTGAATGCTTTGAAGGTTTTACAGTTGTGGAGGTGGGGTGGGGACAATCATTAATTCACCAGCACCAAGCCATCACCAGCTCCCATCTGTCCCTGGTCAGAGACTCAAGCAAGCAAAATGGCGTGGCAGAAGACTAATGAAGCCTTAAAACCAAGATAATATGGTCATCTTGATCCAGCCCTGATTTTTGCAGGGCTCAAATTAGCACGGCACAGACCAACTTTGGTTAGATGTGGCTTTCAGCTTTCTAGGGAAAGATCTGAACTTATTTTTATCTATTCAAGAGCACGCTGTTTTCCTCACCCTTCATTCTCTCCTGGCAGCATAACCTGGAATGTATAGGAATATTTGTTCCTGAAAAATCAGCTGTCCTTTCACTATAATTTTTATAATCCTATGATTTAATTCAAGTTTTACAAGGGTGTGATTCAAAGATATGCAGGTATTTGACTGACTGAGGCCAACAAGGGAAACGATTTTCCTCAGTGAGCCCAAAAAAATTAGAAAACTTTACTTAACTAATGTCAGTGACTCAACAGTTTCCAAAAATTCACATAGTCTTACCTCATAGTAAGGAAGGCTTCTTTACAGTTTAGGCTCAGAGAAAATTTCCACAGAAATCAAACCTATTTACAGAGTGTTGTCACTTTTCAATGACATCTGATCTGTCATCTCCCAAACTCCTGAAGTTATTTAATCCTGATTGCATCTTTGCTGAGCTGACAACAGATTTCCCTACGGATTAAATCTTCTAATCAAGGAGAGATAACAAGCTGAATTTTGAGCCTTGTTCTGGAGGAATTCTGAGGCAAGATTAGTGTGGTACATTCTGAGTTGAAGGAAGTGCAGTGTTCTGAGAGTCTCTTCATGTATTGATGGTTCCTTTTGGTCTTAGATCCTCAAGCTCTTTGCTCTACACACAAATGTTTCCAAGTCCCCTTTTCCCTCTCTCAGGCTTGACTATCACTGATCAAAGCCTGGTCTGGACACCGACCCACTCTGCCTCTCTTACAGCATTGCCCTGACAGATATCTCACAGAAAATACCTGCAGCCCACATACACGAACCTCACTCACCTTCCCTACCTAGCCCTCCTCCCTGATGACAAATGCTGGAGTAGGTTGTGCCCAGAAAACCCATGGTGATCCCTGATCATTTCAACTTCAAAAAATGGGCAAAGAATGTACCCAGGCAACTGAATGTATCTTGTTCTTCACTGGCATAGTAGACACAAACTATTCCTTTACCTGCCTTGAACTGCCTTATCCTGGAAATATTGGGGAAAATAAGCCATATCAGTGAGATTTACCTAAAAAAACAAAGGAATGCAAGTCACTGTGAAAACCAAGTGGACTGATTCTTTTTTAACTTGCCCAGAAGTCAGGACACCTGAGTTCTAGTTTGTGCTCTGTCAAACTGGTGGTTTTGTAACCTTGGGTCTTGGTTTTCTCAGCTGAGAGAAAGTCATGAACTTTAAAATCCTTCCCATCCTTACTAGTGTACTGATTTCTGGGGGGAAAAATCTATTCCTTTTTGATGGTTTCTTTCATAATTCAAATTTTTAGCTTTATTAGAAATGATGGCCCTTTAACAGTTAGGGAATGCATATTTGGTATTGAGTCAAAATACAAATTTGACATACTACTCATCAAGTATGTAGAGAAAAGCAGGATGGCCTTGGAAAAAGGAGAGGAACAGCACTGAAAAACCTTAGTGTGACTGGGAATAATCTGGAAGGAAAAATATATGTTTAATGTGTGAAAGCTACTGGCTTCCCAGGAAGAGGAAACAAGACTATCACTATGGAACTAGCTAAGCAAAGAAAGGAAGTAGGGGAAGATAAAGTTTGTCTTTAGCTACAGACTTGTTTTGTTTTGTTTTGTTTTCTCTAAGCCAGTCTCTAGCCAGTCTCCTGAAGCCCTCGCTGTGTTAGCAATTCAGCTCCCTCTGTTGACTCTCCTTGGAGAAGTACTCTTTGAAACAATGCTGAATCACCTTCTACGCTCCAGGGTAACTCTGAGAAGCTCTGTGGTGAGGGGCAAGTTTTCTCTCAGAAGGGAATGGGAGGAAGGCAAGTAGGAAGGGCACTGGAGGTTTCACAGACCCCTTGGGCATCAAGCCCTCCGGGGACAGCTTCCTCAATTCGTTTGACAGAGATTCTGAAGTATATGAGATACACCCAGACTCAAATACAAGTACAGAGCCAGGTCTAAGGCTAAATCTGAATGCTTTGGGGATTAACCATGGCTGGGCATTGGCCAAATGGGACAGTGTATCTACAGTAATCCAGCTAGCTCCAAGTAAATTTATGTTTGAGCCTCAGTTCCTAAAATGATTGCCTTAAAAAGGCAAACTACTGATCTGAAACTCTTGTTGAAGGCTGAATACTTTATGTTGAGCAGGACGCTCCTTAAAGTACTTCAGTTTGAAGGGAAAGGCTGTAAGGACTCTAAGGATCATGACCCTGGGGTCAAAATGATTCATTTCTTCTGTAACTGGTTGAGGTACTTAGTGCATCTCAAGACTCCATCTCATAAAACTCAATCAGGAGGGATTTACTCTGGATTTTTTTTTAAACGTTTTTTCTTATATTGTTCGGGCTTTCAAATCAAGTGTGAACCTGATTGAAACCCCTCACGGAGGGGAGACATCCCAGTGAAGGAGAACACATCTGTATAACTGGGATTCTTATTTATGAATCATTTAATTTCGGGGGGATGAGTGGTGTGGGGTGTGTGGGTGGGTGGTCGTGTGTGTGTGTTTGTAATCCTCAAGTGTACTTTACTCTTCAATTTAGATGTGCAGTATTTCCAGAAATAGTGAAAAAAAAATAAGATCTTTTCTTCTTTATGATTCTGCTGAACACACTACGTGCTGCCTCAGAGCTTTTTCTAGTCAAATGAGCCTCAGTCCTCAATGACGTGCTTGCCGTGTTGATGCCTCAAGCCCAGTGATACCCCCCTTCACCCGTGCCCTACACGACACCTCTTCCGTTGGCAGTGCGGTCGTCAGTCATCGGAGTGGACCGCCAGGCTCGGCTCTGCTCCAGCAACGCCATTCTCAATTGCTCTTCTGTGGACAGGTGCCTAAGTCTTGGCCCCTCCACCACACTAAGCCCCCAACAGACTCAGCCTCCATGGAACTGCTGAGCACCCTCAAAGCATGTCATTGTCAGTGATACACTTTTCTTCTATGGAACTCTAACCTATTCGTGTCATATTGACCTTCTGATGCATGAGTCATAAATTATGAAATCGGTCTTATGGTTTTTGAAATGTAGCCAGCGTTTGTAAGGCTAAACCTTTTTCACAAACGGAATTTAAGTGAATAACCAAGCCGCAGTTATTCTCCAGAAGGAAGTGCTTACAGACATTTGAATCTCTTTGCCCTTTCCAACAGCTACGGCATCAGGTTCTAAAATAAGCTTGTAATTTTTCCTGTTATTTTAATAATATGGAAATATTAGCATAGTGTTTCTTTTGATAGTGATAGACTATAATCCATATTTAAATTTTATAGAGAAGAAATTTTATTGTACTGTGATGTAGATATTTATTATCCAGGTAAGGATTTGCCCGGTGTGTATTTTTTACAATTGAAACATTTTACTTTAATCTTTAAAAAAAAAAAAAAAAAAAAAAAAAAAAAAACATTAAAAACACACACACACACAAAAAAACCAGACTAGGGGAAAAAAGGTTTGGCCTTATCACAGAATTTTTACTGTGCTGTATAAATGTTTGCAAACGCAAAAAGTGTGCATTTCTAGTGTGTTTCCACATTAATTAATGCCGCCTTCAAGAGCAATATCGTGCAGGTAAAATGCTGTTTGTGGCTTTCTGTTGCACAGTTAAAGCTGACCCACCTTATGCACAAGACAATCAAATATAAATCTGTCCTCCTCAGGATGCAGACAATACTCATGTAAATTACGGAGCACAATGTAAGACAAAAGACACTTTATTTAATTACACAGGTATTATTGATATAAAAGATGTAAGGGCATAAATGAACTGACATTACTCCTTTATTTTGGTTCTTCCTAATTAACTTGGCATTTTTCATTTGATTATACAGCCAAGTTATTTCTCTATGCTTTCTCCAGAGAAAACACATTTCCTGCCCCCCCCCATAATGTTTTCATGCCCTGAGAATCAGAAAAATGCTACAGAATAGGAAAAGATTTACAGTCATTGGAAGATAATGTGTTTTGCAAACAGTGTTAAGTGATATTGCTAGGTTGGTAATATTTTTTTCAGCCTAAAACTCTGTTAAAATCTGTGATCAAAAACGTTTTAAACTATCCAAAAAGAAAATTTGTATATTTGGGAAAAATGAATTTTTACATAGCTTTTGTATGCAGATATTAAATTGTAATTATGAATATAGTGGGCATAGATAAACTCATAAGCTTCAATTCTAAAAAAGAAAAAAAGAAAAAGCTTACAACGATATACGTGCCTGTCTCTTTCTTTAAATGTTATTTTCTAAATAGACACAGGGTTGCCTGCTCTTCTCACCTCAGCTGCTTCCAAAGGGAGGAAAACAGGGATATAAGGGCATTTATTTCATAAACACCTACTAGAAAAAACAAATTTCCTTGGGAGGAGGGCATGGAGGTAGGAGGGAGAAGATGGGGGAGTGCCTTTTCTGAAGGGGCCACAAAGATGGTGTAAGGAGGGAAGAAATAAATTTTTGCAGCTCAAGGACTATATTCATCTTACCTCAAAATGTTCCAAAATATTATTAATGGAATTATACTAATCTCAGCTATCAACATAGATCTCTATCC